CATCATCATCATCATTACCATTATTATTATTGTTGTTGTAGTTGTTGTTCTTTTTATTGTTGCTGTTGTTGTTGCTATCGTTGTTTGTATTGTTGTTGTCGTCGTCATCATTGTTATTAAAAGTATTATTATTATTATTATTATTATTATTATCGATGACGTTAAAATTATTAGCAACAATGTTGACGTTGTTAATTAATCTATGCGTAGGGAGAGTTGTTTTAATTTGTTGTTGGTTGTTCAATGTAGGTTTTTGCATTTCTATTAGAATGGCTTCAGCGAGTTTAAGATTTTGATATTGTTGGGTACTATAGATGATGGTTGTGTTGTCATTTAGTATACCTCTGGTGCATAAAAAATGGTAAAATGGAATATCAGTACAGTATAATATCCTTCTTTTTGTTGTTATTATTGTCATTATTAGTGTTGTTGTTATGGGTGTCGACATTGTTATTTTCGTTGCTATTATTTTCAGGGTTATTACAGATGCCGTTGATGTTGTTGTATCTATCATAGTTGTTATTGTTGTTGTTATTGTTATTGAATTTATTGTTAACCTGAATAATGACTTTTTCAATCTGATTTAGGTCGTAGTTATTGTTAACAAGTAATTTAGTGACACGTTTGATTTCCGATTGAGCATGTTCAACTGTTGTCGAGTGTGTAAATGCGCGATTGATGAATGATCTAATTGTGCTGATTTTATAACCTTCAGTGCACTCACTTATTCCATTTAAGCAGAATTGGTAAAATGGATTAAAATTGGTTGTTCGAATAGGAAAAATTCGGCTGATTATGGCGATACCTATATGCATAACTTTAATAATAATATAAAAAATAAACGATTATAAAAATGGGATCTTGCTTGATTAATTTTAACAATTAAAATCATAAACGATTATAAAATGGATTTCAACATTTTGAATAGACTTAATTGTAAAGAACTAGTTCAAAATATTAGAAAATCAACCATAAAACTTGTTAATGCTGAATCGTCGGTGGATTTTTTGAACAACTGTATAGAACTTGGTCTTCTTCCTAATATATATATATATATATATATATAT